GAGAGCGGGGGGGGGGGGAACGACGACACACAAAAGATCGGAGGTTCCTGACTTTGGGAGTTAACCTGCAATTTCCCTTTTTTCAGCAGGGAAGCTGCTGTCAGCAACTCAAGTCCACCCAGACCTACCAAGAAACCCTCCAATGGGTACTTTGCCCTTTGTCCCCTTCTGGACCAAAACTCACAGCACGTGAAGGAAGAGAGCGACAATGTGAGGTCTAAAGTTGTCTCCAGCTTACAAGCCAGAGCACAGACTTAACCAAAAGCACCCAACACCGCAAGCAGCAAAGCAGGAATTAAGCCCAGGTGTCATTTCCACCGTTTTCTTCACACAACCATCCGAGGCACAGAGGCACCGGCAGCTCCTGCCGTGCCAAAGAGAGGTGTGACGCCCATTGCTCACTCAGGAGCAAACTTCCATCTCATTTTTCACCCGGCAATCTGGGCTGCTCTCCTGCCCAGCGGGCCTCCACCTGCCATGTCCAATTCTTTGTTCAGCTGTTTTGCAGGGTTATCGCTCGCCAACGGTATCATTTTTCTCCCCAGCACAAATGCCCAGCTCTGTTTGATTTACCGAGGATGCGGGGGAGAGACATTTGCTTCAGGCTTTCCAAAAAAAGAGCTCGCACCTCCCTCGTTCAGCCCAAACAAGGAAAAAGGAACACCCCCAAAAGCAACGTTTTTAAAACAGGCCTAGCACAGGAAAGAAGGGGAAACAGGGCTAGAGGAACTGGTTGGGACTACAGCAGCGTGAGCAAGCGAGGCCTCAGCAAAACAAAATCCTGCCTGCAGGTTTTGTGTCAAAACACAAAATCCTGCCTGCAGAAAATGTAGGTGCTCAGCACCTCCATGGACAAAGCCTGCCTCAAGAAACACCTTTGTGCTCAGTGCATGACAACAGTCCCCTCCCCAGGGTTTTGCCTGATGTTAAGCAGCAAATAACACTTGGCCATGTCAGAAGGTCAAGGTTTATTTGCTTCCAAATGCTCCAGAAACGTATGTGTCCCTGACACGCATGGGCTTTGGCGCTCAGGTGGTATTTCCTGGAGTGGGAAACATAGCCAGCATGGCTCCCGCCGCATCTGGGTATTTCCCAAGTAATGCTGCAAAGCTCCAGACTCAAAAGCAACTATGGCTGCAGGAGAAAAAAGCCACGACGCCAAGACAATCCTGGCAGAGGTTGCTCCGATGCTTGCAGCTTTTTCTTCGTCTGTTGAAGGCAAATGTACGCAGATACCCACAATAATGACAAGCGCTGCTCCTGAAATAGCTCCCAACAGGGCGGTGAGCTGATAACCTGTCGCTCAATGGCCAGTCTGTGCAGAACAACCTGAGGCTGCACTTCATCACACAGTAAACCACCTCGTCAACAGGGCAAAAGCGCCACTGTGCTTGGAGCCTTTGCAAGCCAGATTTGATTTCAATCAATCCCAGCACCTGCTGCAACTCACCTCTGGGCACAGGGGTACATCCTTGCCACAGGGTTGCCTCAGCACGGCTGGATATGTCCCCAATAGCTTTTATCAAAGGTTTCCGTGGGGTCACTCCCTCCTCAGCTGCAGCAGGTCCCCCTCTCTCATCGAGATTTCAGCTGCTAACCCAGTTTTCCCACACCAGCCAGTAGATAACCGGCACGCTCGCGGAGAAAGGCACAGCCAGAAACTTAAACAGAACTGGTTCATTCCACATTTTCCAGCAAAGCCCAGCTAACATGAAAGAAGAAGGTGTTTCACTGTGGCATGGTAGGATGCATAGCAGCTCTTGCCAAGCTGGGCTATTAGCTCACTGACAGACAGGAAAAGAACGGTCACTTTAAGGTGCTCCAAGAGTTTAATTATTAATTTATCCCAATGAAATCTACTGCCTCTTGGGGAAGCATGCTGCCTTGCCCAAAGTGCAGCCTGGCCCCTGCTGCTCACTCGCCTTGGAAAAGGCTCCTTCCTTCCTCCCTTTTCCACTTTGAGCGCGTGAAAAGACTCTCTGGGGGGACCAGGTAGAAAATAATACTCTGCCCCGGCACTCGATGGGCCACTTGAAACCCTCTGCATTGTTTGCCCTGCTCCAGGCAGCAGTAGGGGATTAAAACTTCAACCATTATGCACATGTTTTGTGCTCCATTGTGCTCCACTCAGCCGTCCCTCCACATTAACATCTAAACAGATCACCACTATTCAACCAGAGTGAGAGGTCGGGGGCTCAGAGAGGAGCCCCAGCACTCCCCACAGCTTAGCTCCCACCAGAGCTGCATGCCCTTCTTCTCCCCCCTCGGCAGCATAAACCAAATTTTGCGCTGAAGCAGCCGAGCAGAGCAAGCAGGATGTTTCCATCTGCCAGCCAGGAGCAGAGCAGAAATATGGGAGCTAGCAGGATTTTTTTTTAAATGGCCACACCAATCTGATTGCCTGGTAGCGGCCTCTAAAGCTGTCGTGTGCAGTGATCGGGCCTGTGTGACAAAGGCATCTCTGCTGCCCAGGAGCGTGGTGACAGTGGGACCTCTTCCCGTGGGAGAAATGCAAGGTGTCCTTCGTACACAGACACTATTTTGGAATAAGTGTGTCCACACAGGGCTCGCTACCTCTACAGCTTATCCCACTGTAGCTGTTCCTGCTAATTTCCCCTGGCAGAAGGGCCCCAAACCAAGCACTGCAAATGCCGTTGCTGATCTGGGTGGCAAGCAGCATGTCTGCACAAGCCAGCTAGCACTGTTTAAGTTCAGCTCAAGGAGGAGGAGCATTGTTTGCAAACCCCTTCCTGGCTCCATTTCCAACGGGAGAGTGAGCCTCAGAGAGCTAGGCACAGCACAAGGCCCAGCCTTCGCCCAGTCATTACACCAAGTCCATAAGCAGGTGTGATAAAGCACTACAGCCTTAAATGCCATCGTGGCAATATGAACGTGCCCTGCTCCGCTGCCTGCCTCCAACTGTATCAACAAGGAGAAATTATCCCCCTAACAGAAATAGCTCTGATGATGCAAAAGCTGTGGCAAATCCCAGCCTCCAGACCCAGCATGGAGGCCATCCTTGTGACCAGACCCAGCCTGGACACACCTAGGAGTTTTGCTGGCAGAACTGGCTCCATGTGGGAATAAAAACTGTAGGAAGGGGAGCAAGGAGCAGGAAAATCATACTCAGATCAACAGATGAGGCCAGTAAAAACCTCAGGCAGCTGCAAAAAAACAGATTATTGCATTAGCATGACTTACTCCAGTCAGGCAATATATATATGTATGTGTATATACATATATATATATATATATACACACACACGTGTGTGTGTGTATAAATGATATAAGCTGCGCCTGTGCAAAAGGGCTTGCCAGCTAGACTCCATCCCCACGAACAAGGAAGGCTCTTGTGTTCCCAGAGCACCCAGCACAACCCAGCCTGCTTCTGCCTGGGGAGCGTGGAGGCTTCATAGGACGAATGACCTGCACAGAGCAGAGATATTTTCCCCTCCTTTTTAAACACTTGCCTCCTGTTTCATGCATTCCCTGTTCTCCCTGCTTTAAGTGCTTTAAAATTTAATAAGGAAGAAACTAAATTTTCTTCCCAACAAACAATCAGCCATTTCAAAGCCCAATTAGCCCTGTCCCTGCTGGGAGGTTCACTACAAGAGGAAACAGTCAAATGGAGCAGCAAGACTAAAACCAGCCACATCAGGGCACTCTGAGTGGCCAGTCCATGTCAGGCTAAAGCCTATTAGCCAGGAAAACTCCTTGGAAACACCAAAAAACTCTTGCAGCTAAAAGAAAAGATTTGCAGCCATGCAGCATCCTTGGCTGCAAAGTCTCCCTGCTGCCTCAGATTTCAAGGAGGCTCTGGCTATGGAGGCCAAACGATTTGAGGGAGAATGGGCTTAAGCTGCTCTTATTTTCAGTCCTGCTCTCTTCCCATTTTCAGGC